CTGGGGTCTCGCTGCCTAAAGCCAGAACAGACCAATAGACCCATATAACACACACACACACACACAGAGAAATTGCAGCTCCATCTTGGTGAAGACGGATGGATTGAGGGAGTAGTGATGAAAAAGAGAAATATGAAAAGATCTACGTGTGTGTGTGTGTGTGTGTGTGTGTGTGTGCACTGACTTATATTTAAACCAAACTTGGGCACATTAACATGAGATAAAGCCACTAAATTCCCAACAAAATCACAAATGAGATCTCATTAATATCTTAAATGTTTCTCCTAAACAGCAACGAAACCAAATAGAGACTCGTGCCAAATTCTTAGTCTTCTGAGAAATACACTCTAGTAGTTTCACGTCTCTAAACACACTGTAAAAAATAAAATAAATAAAATTGTTAGAGTACATTTTACAAGAAAAAACCATTTCAGTCTTTCAACTTCAAAATTTCTTGTTTAATTCAATGTGTTTCATGACGTTTCTTTGTAATTAATTGTGAAATTTACTAGCAATACTATGATTGCAAATAATTTCTGCGCCATTTTTTTTTTTGTAACGTACAGAGTTTTAGATGAGATCTCAATGGTGTCTCCAACTGTCCTCAGATTTGCCAAGATCCCAAAGTCTGCGAGCAGGAGTCTGAGATCTCAAACATTTCTATTTTTATAGCTTTAAACTTTTACTGGATGACAACTATTCACTCATTTGAGTCTGTTTTTATTTTACCTAAAGAATTTCAAGCGAAACACTTGAGATAAAGTTGATACTCCAATAAAACACAACGGAGAACTGAAAGAGAAACCTCTGAGCAGTAGCATGTCTTCTAGACAATTTCAGTTTAACGTGCCTCATTAGCATGACAGATAACCTAGCTTAACTAGTTTGGATTACAGTGAAAACAAAGCACAGTGAGAACCAGCACAGAGTCCAAAACCACTCAGAACCAGCTTCCACCAGACCACCAAAACCAGGATTTCAGTGCTCAAAATCCGGATCCGCTCAGAACTGGTCTGATCTACTGGAGCTGGGGCTGTTTGAGATGAAAGATTCTGCAGATTTGATTGACAGCTGTCAGTCAGAGAGCATATTATTATTTAAACAAAAACACCTAGAGCTCCAGATGTTACATGAGAAAGTAAGAACATTTTTACATAAAATTAGATTTAAAAAATGCAAAAAAAAGACTGCATTTATTTCAACAAAAATACAGTAAAATCAGTAAAATTGTGAAATATTATTACAATTTAAAATAGCTTTTCAATGTAAATATCTGTTCAACTGTAATTTATTCCTGTGATGCAGCGTTGAATTTTCAGCATCATTACTCCAGTCTTCAGTGTCACATGATCTTCAGAAATCATTCTAATATGCTGATTTGCTGCTCAACAAACATTTCTGATTATTATCAATTGTTGAAAACAATATTTTTGTGGAAACTGTGATGCATTTTATTTCTCAGGATTCA